CACAAATTTAATGATGAAGAAAAAGAAAATTAAAAAAGGAGAAAGATAATATAAAGCAAAAAGGAAAAGAAAAAAATAATTTAACAAATAATTATGTAAGATAAATTGAATGTGAATGTAAATAAAGAGTCTACATAAAACTCAAGAGAAAACAAAAATAATAATGGTGTTTTTAATATACATAGCACATTGAACAGTACAAAACAGACAATGATATGTAACAAACACAAATCCTTAAACATAGCCTTCCATAAGTTTTTTTTCATGAATGCATACCAACAAATGTCCAGCAACCATATATTTCTCGGTTAAAGTGCACATTTTATCTTTACTCAACACCCTCCATGAGGACTTTAGAAGTGATAAATTAGATGAACGGCACTAAGTCAATACCATTCTCTGTCAACAAACTGGCTACTCTAACTGAAAAATGGAATTGACCATCACATTATAATCCCTCCATTGCTGAAAAGGTGAGTATATTTGGTAATGGGGTGCAGACTATCAACCCAAAGATTAAAAGTCGAGTGTTTTAACAACATGGTGCTAATTAGTTTCAATATAAATAGCAGAGTATAACAGAAAAATGATATTTTACACAAATGTAACTTTATCAGTAGGCAACTGGAGATATTAAAGCATGTAATGATGCATCATCTGAAATTGTTCAGACACCAACAAGAAAGAAACATACAATTTCAGCTAACCTCTAGTATTTCCCATAACATATTACTGTTTTGTAGGTTGTAACTAATATTACTTATTTTTCTTATTATACAATATTAAATCCAAACAAGTAAAGTTTGTTTTTCTAAATCTAAGGTGTTCACTGAAAACAAGTGATAAACGTTATGAAATTACAAATCAGAACCACTAAAACAAAGAACTAACAGATCTAATTAAATTTTGTATATTACTAAGTACAAGATTACAAGATAAAAGGTAATATGTACCCACACACAAAGTTTCCAAAATTGTGTAACATGGTCATAGAGCACACAGTATATTATAATTTCTAAAGCATTTTAGTAAATCACTAGTATGCTGCTAACTTTAAAAAGTCACATAAAAATGAGAATCTGAACTGCATTGTTTCCTCTTATTACAAACTCATTTGATTAATACAGGAAACAGCATAATGTAACTATGTGACGAGAAAGCAATTAATTAAAATTATTATATATTTCATTTATACATACACTAACACAATTAAGTCACATGCAAGTTATAAAATAGAAATTTCAAATGCTTAGCATTTGGGCCCGGCATGGTCAGGTGAATAGGGCGCTCGACTCGTAATCTGCAGGTCGCACGTTCGAATTCCCGTCCCTCCGTTGGCGGTGGGTGGTGTTGACTAGCTGCCTTCCCTCTAGTCTTACACTGCTAAATTAGGGACGGCTAGTGCAGATTGCCCTTGTGTAGCTTTGCACGAAATTCAAAACAAACAAACAAGCTTAGTATTTCTTAAATATAATTCACGTATACATCACTTACCACTACAATCACCATCAGAATTCTTTTTATAACCTTCCTTACACACTGTGCTATTATTTCCTTCATCGTTGATAAAACAATATGTAGTGTCAGCAATCTCTTCTGCACACTTAGCTGCAATAACAAAATTTAAAATATCTTAACTATGATTTTAATAACTTAAAAATATAAAAATACTTTATGTTATTTTTTCCTAGAATATACAATAAAGCATTGTAGGAACATTTTGTATGTTGAAAAAATTAACATAAACTCCACAATTATTTCACTAAACATTTTATTCTACAACTTATTCACAAGCGACCTACTATTTAAACTGCCAGACTCACAATGCATAACATACTATACTTCTTCTGTTGACAATGGAGAGTATGGAACAAGGGTAATACTGTTTACATTACAACAAAATGCAAATATACTGCAACAACAATTTCTAATCACATGAATGTAAGTGTGCAGCCAAAAATAATGGTGAAAATCCTTTGAATATTGACATAAAAATATACAATGAGTATAAAATAATGTAAAAAAAATTATAATTAAAAGAGAAAATGATCTAAAGAGTGAAGTAAACTAGTAAGGAAAAAAAAAACTTACAATCATATTGCAATGATTATTTATTTTTATTTATGATTATTATAAATGATTAAGTGTATAAAATGTATTATTTTCTAGAGAATTTGCATGTATTGCACTCATGTGCTCTAAACTCAGCAGGATGGGATACAAAGTTTATATCTGGAGATTCTTATCATCCACTGCCCTGATAATTCAGGGATGTAAGAAGTATTTTCTTAAAAATCACAATGTTCATGATTACCTTTTTTATCAGTCCATGGGACAGACAACCCTAAATGTTTTCAGTCTCTTCAAAAAAATATTTGATCTTCACCCCTTACCTTAAAAAGATAATACAAAGAAGTTAGATAAAATATTTATGGTTCTACCTGTTGTTAAACAAACTTCCAAATTCCTTTCAAAATATACTGTTTATTGTGTGGTCCACCAAGATAAAACAAAACAAAAAGCAGTTTGAGCTTGAACAAAAATGTTTGAGAACCACTGTTTTACTGTATGATATACACGATTCTGGTTTAATACCTGTACAGAATGTTATGCAAAATTACACATTTTTTGAATCAGAGTTTATCACAGATTAAACATTCTTAATGTAGTTCATTTTAAATTTAATGAAGGAATACATATTAACTAAAGGCAGTATTGTACCTAGATTGTACATATAAGAAACCTGTGTCCCCTGGTATTAATATAAGGAAACACAGTGGAAATTAGAAGAACACCCTTGAGATGTATTGTTTTTCATATTCAAAAATATTACTAAGGATTAACAATGAATTTAGTGTTAAATTTCTAGAACAAATCTAAAGTTTCCAAAACGAAGTCTTAAATAATCTACATGAATTTGGTGGATTATGTAAATTAGCAGTGCTCAACTCAGAATGTCATTGGTTGGTGCATTACAACCAAATTTAATTATTAATATAGTAGAGAGTAGTTTGGAGGTTCTTTTGGTTTATATTACTACAGTAGTAATCTTGTGTGTGTTTTATTACTTGTCAGTTACTTAAATAATGCCACAAGTGCTATTATCATTGCTTTTATATGTAGAAATACAACAAGGCGTTATAGATAATACAGAGAAATGTAAAAATAGTCATACATCTGTCCATACATGCTCACTATGGAGGCAAGGATTTCCTAAGCAAGGAACAAATTTTGAAACTGGTTTTAGAAACTAATACAATTGAATTTTAATGGTCCTCTGATTGGTCAAAAGAGAAGTTAATGTAATAGCTGCTAATTACTTAAAATGTTTGTTAGAAAGGTTCATTCAATAAAATGTAAGCCCACTTGTGAAAATTTGCTGTTAACAGATGTGACTGGTCAAAACGATAGTGACACAATAATTTGTTCAAGGGAATGTGTACTTAAAATGTGAAATGGCACTTTTGTTACAACACCACAAAGCATTTAACCTCATATATATATACACATATATATGTGTGTGCTTACTTCATTCTGAATAGTATAATCTGATCAAGCTGTAATTCAAAGCATTTTGTTGAGTGTTATTTCTAAGCAGTGTTCATTTGGTTGATTACGAAATTAAGAATATTCGATATATGTCTGCTTCTGTATATAAATTTAGAAACTAAATCAATAGTTAGTGGTAGATTAATTTTCCTGCTGTAGTTTAAACTAAAAGACTTGAATGCCATTTATAGAGTTCATAATTCTTGAGTAGAATTTTCACTTCAAAAGTGTCTAATTGTATAATTATGGAAACTATTACTGTAAAACATTTCATTACTGGTTACTTAAAAAAGTGTGTATTTTTATAAGAACTTGTTTACCAACAGTTCGGTCTTTGTTATATTGACTTGATGTAAAACTTTAAGCATTTTGTAAATAAATATGTCCATATAACAAAATATGTAAATCTTGAATCAAATTTTTAAATGAACACATTCATTCTGTGTAAAGTCATACTACAGAGTGCTGACTGGAGTAATTTAGACGTTTTGTGTGATAAAAAAAAGGTAAAAATGAAGAACAAGGTTATAATTATTTTATTTGATATTTGTATCATTCCTACAGCTTCTTCAGATATGACCTCCAGCTTACACTGCTATACTCACAGTGTCACAGATCATGCACTTTTGACTTACTTCTATTGACCATTAAAGAGTATAAAAAAGTCAACAAGTGAATAATACTGTTTAAATTAAAACAAAACCTAAATATACATCAACATTAATTTCTAGCAATACGAATGTACATGTGCAGCCTTAACTTACAGAAAAAACAAAATGACCTGAATTTTTTAAGTATTGTAATAGAACTTTTAGAATGATGCCATTACTTTATTTTAATTAATATTTTAAATTCAACAGAAATATTTAAAAAGAAAAACATGAGTTACACTAGTTATTCCTATAATGTTCATGAACTTTTTTAGAAAGGTATGTGCTAACTTCAAGTTTTGTAGATGCTCTTGATTATTTAAAAAGGAAACTTTAAAAAAGTATATATATATAAACCCCTCATCTAAATTAGTTTTCCTACTTAGGTTCACATCAGCCTACTCAAGTGAAAAAAAGCAGTAATCTCAGGAGAACTCGTAATGACCAACCAAATTTATAATTCTAAAGAAAGCAAACTCAGTTGACCAACAGATCTACAATATGCACTTAAATTGAGTAGTTGCTTAGTCAGTTTTATATCTGATTAATTTTAAACTGTTTCAAAGTAAATTAATAGGAGATTTTTACTCTGAATAAAGAGGATGACACTGTAAAATGTCAAATTGGAATACTTTTATACATTACTGCAGAATTAAAAGACTTGCATTCAAAAATGTAAAGGTCATGGTTACCAGTAGGACTTGTACAAAATCCAGGCAGAACCTTAAAATAAGTATTAATATGTTCTGCATACAGTCCAGATAATGCTTGCAAGATAAAAAAAAAAAGCTTCACTAAAATCCATAATAAAAAAGTTATTCACAAAGTAAGTTGTGTAATTTGCAATGAATTTTACATTAAAGAAACATCTATACATTACACAACAGATTTGTTGAATGCACGTTATCAGCTTTTAATCAACTTGGCAGAAAAAAGGTAGATGAAATCTAACTGCTCTTTACAAATAAAAATTCTTGCTGCAGCTAACAATATTCTGATATTCTTGTCCATAAATATAAAATGTAAATCCTATCACATACCTGAAATTTAAGATCTTAGAAACTTGGTTACAGAAGCAGGAAACGGATGCATAAATGGAGAATAATCTCTTTAGCCTAAATTCTCCATTATATAGTTTTGCAGTTAAATTGCTTTCAAATATATTTTGGGAGAGTTTGGAACCATCCTTTTAATCTTAAATGAGTTTAAGAAAAACTTTGATAAGTATATGAATAATAAGGGCTGGCTTTAAGATTTATTCATTTCAATTTAGTGTAGAGGATGGAACAACTGAAATGGACCAATAGGTCCCATGTTGTCCCAAAACACTGTCATGTTAAGACTGGCAACATTTGTTACTTTTAGATAATTTGGCAGATTGGAAAGGATTGGTGTGGAATATTAGTGTAAAAAGGAGAAACATCCATTACTAAGGGGCAAATATCTGTTGTCATTGATTACCTCAATAATATTTATATTATGAGCTGTGCCCTTTATATAAGAAGAGAGAATATAGGAAATAATTTTTATGTAATGGTCAGTAAATGCAGAAAGCTTCTCATTGGCCATGATGGGAAGACTAGGCTTATAATATACAGGTATTTTTGGTGAGAGTTAAAATGTACCTAGAAAAGCCTACTTGGATGTCAAATAATTAAATGTTTCTTTGTCATGTTTTTTGTTTTTGAAAGAATTGTAGGGTCTTATATGAGATGCTTATGGAAATTAATGTCATCAATTTGGTTTTTAGGCTCAAGAACCTTTAGAGCATTTCTTTCCTTTTGTTTCATAGTATTGTAATGTTGCTTGGAAGAGTAAGTTTGTATTATGTCATTTTCTATAGACTGATCTATGTATTTAATAATTATAGTGAAAACATTGAAAGTTAGTAATTATTACTTGTACGAATTACAAGGTCACTAATATTATTTCCAGGTTTGTTAGTTTGAGAGGACTCATGTCCAGTAAAATATAGTGTTTTTAAATGTTATTTTTTTTATTTTTAGTATTTGAAAATGGTGAATTGGTAGTTTCAAGTGAGCTATTTGCTACTTGGATAACATCTTGACAAAAAGGGAAGGATTGCTAAAAATGGTGTTAGAAGCAACCACAATTTTGGAATTGGTGTTAGTTTTTAGGCACTGGTTTTAATTAAGGTTTTTTTAAGGAGAAATAAATCAGTTCTCTGTTTAAATTTTTAAAGTTATTGTTTTTCTTGAAAAGAAGGGTTCTAGAGGTAAACATAGTACCTTAGCAATGTTCATGACTTTCACAGGGGTATTTCTGAGAATCTGTTGCCATTAGTAGCAGAGACTGTTGTCATGAGCTTCTACCATGATGAACGTTTGTAATATGAATGATGTGGTATGATTCTATACTGTGTACTATAGAGTAGCAATCTGGCATGTTGATAGTATCTGGTGCTTTTTTCAGTAAGTATACTAAATTTAAAAAGAAATGAAAGATATAGAGGGGTTGTAGTTTAAAGTATAACTGCTTGTTGATCTTTTTGACAATATCTTTGACATCTGATGGTAATTTGATTTCTTACTCATGATTACGTTTTTGTACTTTTCTTTTATTTCAGATCTTGATGACTGTACGTTTAAAACTTGTAAAGAATCTGAAGAATGTAAATCTGGGAAATGTGAAAGTAAGTTTTTCTTAGAGTTACTTTATTTCCTAGCAGTGAGAATAACTTTAATCTATTGCAAGATATTAGTATAAAATATTTTGTAAATATTTGTTTATACGTGCACATTTAGTCTTTTCCATATTGAAAGAGAATTTGAAGCTGTACTGTTATGTAGCTAGATTTTGTACTCCAATTTAGTAACTTTGTAGTGCTGCTGATTGAAACATGGAAAATATTAAGCAGATTTTGTTGTATTGGATATCAGAATCTATATTATGATCAATTGGCATAGACGATATTAAGAAAAAATAAGGGACAGATATAAAATGTCAGAAAAATATGCATGTAAAAAGGTTATAAGTTTTTAAGCCTCAATGGCCTTATACTTTGCATGGTCATGTATTGTGTAATTTAAATAGTAATAAACTATCAAATAATTTGGCATAAGATTCAGAATTTAGAAAATGTGGGTGTCTGAGAACCACAGAAATGAGAATTTTGATAATTTATTGGTGAAGGGAAACATAAATAATGTGTTTCTATTGAAATGCAATGTACTAGACTAATCTATATAAAAATAAGAATAATTTATTTTTACTATTACATAAAATGAAAATCAATTTAAATAATGAAAAAAAGAATGGCCAAAAAACGTTAATCTTGACCTTCTGAAAGCTGGAACAAAACTTAAATGGAAGTTTCAAAATTGATTCCACAGTTTCATTCTTTTTGTAGGAAAGAATCTCCAGGGCCAATCATAAACTAGCTTTACACTCACAGCTAATTTGGGCACAATACCAATATCCCATAATATAGTAAACAGTAATGGTATATTCAGGTAAAACTTCGTTGGCATTATAGTGTAGTGGGATAGGTCTCCTTAATAACAGGTGATACAAAAAAAATATTTATTATAAAGTACTACTGAATATCTGAGTTTATGAGAATGAAATAGAGACTGAATACAATGTAAAATAAAAGTAAACAGTATTTATTAATTCACCAACACAGTGTGTGTTTACTTCCTTTTTAGGTACTGCCTGGTAATTTCTACTTGATCAGATAACTTCTTCTCAGAACTGGTAACACCAAGATAATTTAACAGAATGCTTAATTTCAATGGTTCTTAAACCCCAGCTAATTTCAGATTTAGCCAGAGTGAAAAGCATTAACCATATGACTAGTCAATCTAATTATAGTTTAGGGGAGTTTATACCCTTGGTATACCACCTGAAGTATCATTGAAGGACACTTCTGTCTACATTCTTGTATAATGTTCAGCATTACAGCCATGTCTTCCATGAACAGAAGAGGTGTGACCTCAATAGAATGACAAGGAACAAAGGCAGCTGGATTAACATCAGTTTAATGCTTTCTTGATCATGTGTTATATGTAAATAGTGCATACTTAGAAAAAGGTGATAAATTCAATATAATATTGTAGTATTATAAGAAGGTAGAAATCGATGGTTTGTTTATGTAACATAACAAAATATATAGCAAATAGTATGTGTTTGTTTCTGTACATTTTTTAGTTTAGAAAATGAACAAAATCCATTTTTATATAAACCACTTAAGTAACTTTTCACTAAATTATCTATATATGTTATATCCCTCCAACTAAAAACTATGCAGTTGTGAGTCTGCAGTTTGGTGTAAACTCATGTTTATTACCAAAACCCTTTGAAAAGCATCATCAGTAATGTAGTTCTGAAGTAATTCATTTTATGAATATTGTCTTAATTATAAGCCTACATATTAATGAACTCAACAGTAAAAAGTGTCATATTTTGCTATAATATTTTTCTCTAGAAATAAAGAACTGCAAAAATGATTCGTGTAAAGACAAAGACAATAGCAAATGTGAAGAAAACTATGAAGACCCAGTAAATGTTAAATGCATTTGTAATAAAGGATTTGTCGAATCTGGTGCAAAGTGTTTTAATGAAAGTAAGTATAGAGGTAATTACTTTTAAAAAACGATTACTTACAGTTTGTGCATAAACATAACTTATTTGAGAATTAGTGTGAATCTTGACTTGTATATTTTAATAATACCTTAGAATAGCCATTCTCAATCTGTTATTTCTGTGTTCTTTTCTGGCTTTCTGTGGAAATGTTTGCTTGGTTAAGAAAAGGCAACAATAGCAAAGTGAGGTTTGCTGTAAGAACTGGACACTTGAACAAACTACATAGATGATATATATTTCATTTGAACAGCCACTTCTGAATCATTTACCTTTCCTTAAGCTAACACCTTTCACTAAGTTTCCTCTTCATTACTCCACTAACCAAATTCACTTTCTTAATATCACTGTATCTTTAAATGATGTCCTTTTACATTTCAATAATAATTACGAGTCTAAAACTAAGTTTCATTCATTGAAACTTGTTTCTTAATTTTTGTTTTACAGAAGATCCTTGTAAAGACAGTCCTTGTGGAGATAATGATTGTAAAGCTTTGGAAAACACTTTTCAGTGTGTTTGTACTGAAAAAACCAAGTGGTATAATTACGATACTTCAACATGTGAAGAAATAAGTAAGTATGCTTTTGTGATTACAAATTAAATTATTCAGATATATATATATCATTACATTGGATGTTGAAATATATTATTTTCTTAGGCATTTGACAGCCATATATTTTTATAAGAAGTTTTTAAGATAAGTTGTTATATTTTGATGTATTACTTTTAAAAATTTGTGTTTATAGGTACAGCTGGTGTGTATTTGTTATCACCTGCTTATTCTTTGAAAAAGACTGTTTTTCATTAAATATTTTATAAAGCCAAAAAGAAATTTAAGTAATACATGTGATTTTAATGACCAAGAAATACATAAAAAGCAATGTGCTTGAACCTAGCAATTGCAACTCACACTACTGCTTTGATACCAGTGTTGTTACCAGTTAAGCCAACAGGGCTCAGGTACCAAGCAGATAACTCTTCACCCCACTTTTCATCATTCTTCAGTATAACATGGCACTATTTTGAGTTACTCAGAATTTCAGAAGAAGATGAAGATTTTTCTCAAGTGCACATAACTGCTGTGTGGCAGAGAATCTGATAGCAGTTACTTGACTGCACCACCATGTAAGTGTGACAGTTATATGAAACAGCTAAATCCAACTGTTATATATATATATAGGTATTGATAAAATAAAATAGATATGTGATATGAAAATCAATTACCAATAAAATGTTTTACAGAACTAAAAAGATAAAACACATAGAAAATTATTGTAAATAAATATTAAGTGTTTAAAAAGTAAGCTACACATGAGAAATGTAAAAACAATTATCAAAGAGGGAATTAATTAAGTATCAAATATCAGTTATTCCAGGTGCTAGGTTTATTCCACAAGGTTAATCAGTATCTAAAGTGGCAATCTGGTAGAATTCTTTCATTGCTCTATCAGTTTTAGTTTTGTAACCAGTTTCAGTACCTATGGGAATCACATTGTTAACAGGAATTTCAGAGAAAATTGTCTTAGATGATTACTAAAGTTGAAGTAAGTGGACAAGTTTTTGAATTTCAAGTGATAGGTAATACCAAGAGGAATTCATTTTTTTTTTTTCGGTATTATACTGTTTAAGGATGGTTTTTTTAATGAGTGTTGTTAGGTTTTTTTTTATTCAGTTTCAATATACAATTTTTGTAATATGGGTTGGTTTAGATTCCTGGTATATTTTCTGTAATTGTTTCACTAGTACAGATTTTGTTGATTCCAAGCACTTGCCTTTAGGAAATATTCCATTTAGTGTGGGTGGCTATGGCAGCTTTTGCAGTGAACATACTGTGTCCTGTCAGTCGGTTTTCTCTATAATTCAGTATAACATAAACATAAACAAGTTAGATATAAACAGAAAAATCAATTACAACGAGAAGAAAGTGCTTAACATAGCAAAAGTTTTCTTGATCAACCAAATGATTCTACACATAAAATTGTCATTTCCTAGAATCTAAATTAAGGCACAGGTCAGGAAGGTTTGAAGTAACGTGACATAATAAATTAAAAATTGAAAACTATTATTTGATTCATTTTATACAATTACTATCACATAATATTGTAATTTAAAAAAATAATCAGTGATTTGAACTGTTCCACTTAAATATTGTTAACATAATCACGAATACGTTTGATAGTAAAAAAAGAATAAAACCT